GAGAACAAACAAATAAGAACTCCAAAACCCTGGTCAGGATTCGATCAAATCTGCTAGTCAAACTGCAAGGGGGGGCTTCCCTGGTGGTGCAGTGGTTGGGAGTCCGCCTGCCGATGCGGGGGACGCAGGTTCGTGCCCCGGTCCGGGAGGATCCCACGTGCCGCGGAGCGGCTGGGCCCATGAGCCGTGGCCACTGGGCCTGCGCGTCCGGAGCCTGTGCTCCGCGGTGGGAGAGGCCACAGCGGTGAGGGGCACGCGTACCGTAAAAAGAAAAAAAAAAAAAAACTGCAAGGGAACTCTGAATACAGAGGCTGCACTGACTATAGTCTGAGCAGCATTATTTCATCAAGCCTTTGGTAAATATCCAAGCTTTTCCCTTAGGTAGATTTTTTCTTCAAAGTCTTCTATTCCTCTGGGGCAATACTAAGAGATAAAAAGGTACAACACATACTTCTAGGATCAAGCTGCTGCCCAGGAAATGGAGAACCTAGGCAGCATGGTCAGTCGTCTTGCCAGATCCATTGCCTCTGCAGCAGCTTCTCCATAAGTTAACTTCTTAAGAGCAATTAATTTACATCCCCACTTCTTAGATCTACTGGGCAGTGCACTTCTGACATATGTGCACAACACAAGAGCTGTGATTCAATTAAAATATGAAGTAAATACAATACCCTTTGGGAGAGCTATGCATTCAGAAGGAAATTTTGTTTCCAGAAATGATTTTGAGAGGAATCCTCTACTTCACATCTTCAGCATTCTGCTGTCAGAACTGTTCCCTTTGGAGAATATATGTGGGCTATGAAAGAATGCAGATCTTTTCTTGATTGAACTAATGATATGATTAGCAATTTTGTTTTCGATGAAACTACCAGATTTGTTCCAATCCACCATACTGTGTAAAAATCTTGTTTCAAGGACATTGCTTTTGGAAGCTAGAAAACAGAATCTAGTAATTAACTCGTGTGTTAGCATAAATGGCCATAGCCTGAATGAATTCCCACACCCACACAAGCTCCCAAATAGATCACAGATCATACAATTAATATTACAAAATGGCCAACTATATGTTTCTCTTGTCCAGGAATTCCTGCCTCTTTGTTTGCACTTCTCTGAAAGTGTCTCTAGTTAGCTAGTAAGGTTTTGTGAAATTTTCAAAACAAATTCTATGTTACTTTCCTCCCCTGCAAAAATATAGGTGTGCACCCTTTGTTACTGGAAGGGTTGCAGATGGTAGAGAAAGAGGATCTAACAGAATCCAGTAAACAATGATGTTTTGCAAATCCTGAAAGTTTGACTTCCTATAGCGCTTTAATATCTGGGTGACTCATTTGGCACCTAATACAGTGGCTGGGACTGGATTAAACTGTTTCACATATGTGTGCTTTGTCTCCCACCACTCTAATCATTTGCTGCTGGAGCAGCAGCATGGCCTAACTTTTCTTTTGTAAAATGGTATAACCACTTTGGAGTATAGTTTGGAAGATTCTTAAAAAGTCAGATAATCCTGAAGAAATAAAAAAGACAGTAAGTAAAAACTAAGGCCATTTGAATGAAGTATTGACTTTAGTTAATAATAACGTATCAATTTTGGTTCTTTAATTGTAACAAATGTACCATAGTAACTTAAGATGTTAATAACAAGAAAAACTGCCTCTTTTGCCATGTGAGGACACGTGAGGGTACAGTAAGAAAATGGCGATCTATCAACCAGGAAGTGAGCTCACATCAGCCATTGAGTCTGCTGGTGCCTTGATTTTGGACTTCCCAATCTCTAGAACTGTGAGAAATAAATATTTGTTGTTTAACCCACCCAGTCTATGAAATTTATAGCAGCTGAACAGAATAAGACACTATCTTTACAATTTTTACGTAAATCTAAAATTATTCTAAAAAGTAAAGTTTTTTAAAAAAAAGCTTTAAAAGGAACTAAAACAGTTAAATGTACACTTACTATCTAATTCATCCATTCCATGTCTAGACATTTATCCAGGAATAAAGGAAATATATATGCATGCAAAGATGCATACATGTATGTTCATAGCAGCTTTATCTGTAATAGCCCTCAAACTGGAAACAACCCAAATGTCAATCAACAAGTGAATGGATAACCAAATTGTTTATATCCATATAATGGAATAATACTGAGCAATAAAAAAAAGAATGAACTACTGATACTTGTAACAAGACAGATGAATCTCAAAATAATTGTGTTTAGTGAAATAATCCAGACAATAAAAGAGCACATACTGCATGATTCCATTTATATAAAACTCTATAAAATGCAAACTGATTTATAGTGACAGAAAGATAAGTGTTGTTTTGAAAGAAGGGCAGGAGGGGGCATTAGCAAGGAGCACCAGGAAACTTGTGGGTAATTTATATGTTCATTATCTTCATTATGATGATGGCTTCATAGGTGGATACATATATCAATCAGCCCTTACAGATTATACACTCTAAATTGTGTGTTTATTGTATGTCAATTATGTGCCAATAAACCTGTTTATTTTTTTAAAAATCCAATTAGTCATGTATAGGAAAAGGGAAATAATTATCTTAGGCTCATATAACTACTACCTTTGATCATTAAACATAGCTCTGAGCTTTTTGGTAGTGGAAATTTTGCTTCTTTGTACCACTGTACCTACCACTGGCTGTTTGGGGACCAGTTTCTTTCTCTTAAAAATGATGAGTGACCCTTAAAGTCTTTTACAGGCAGATATATTGAGAATAATTCTAAACATGTATCTTCTGAAATAAGTTAATATAAATTCATTTGCATTAATTTCATAAACCTTAACTTGAAATTGGCTAATAAAGTGATACCTATTAGGAACCTTAAAGATTAAATGGGAATTAATAGTTAAGAACTATTTGTAAGTAGTATACTGATTATTTTTTTCTGAGTATCTTTTTATGTCAGGCAATCAATTAGAAGTATTTTTTAAAAAATAGCTTTATTGAGATATCATTTACATACCATACAATTCATCCATTTAAAATGCACAATTCACTGTTTTTTAGTATATTCACAGGTATGTGCAACCATCAGCACAGTCAATTTTGTAACATTTTCATCACCTCCAAAAGAAGCCTTAGACTCAAAGGGCATAGAGATTCCTCTTGGGGTGATGAAAAATTTCTAGAACTAGATAGTGGTGGTGGTTGCACAACATTGTGAATGTATTAAATGTTACTGAATTGTACACTTTAAAATAATGCATTTTAGATTACAATATTGTATCCAGCACACCAAAACCCACTCCATAAAACTTACCCATATACTTTAGGTACTTACCCTTATCGCTCCATTCTCCCAGCTCTAAGCAAACACTAATATACTTTGGTCTCTATAGATTGGCCTATTCTAGGCATTTCATATAAATGAAATCATATAATATGTGGTCTTTTGTCACTGACTTCTTTCACAGAATGTTTTCAAGCTTCATCCATGTTGTAGTGTGTATCACTATCTCATTTATTCCTTTATATGGCTAAACACTATTCCACTGTATGAATACATCACATTTTATTTATCCATGCATCAGTTAATGGTCATTTAGGCTGTTTCCACCTATTGTCTATTATGAATAATGCTACTGTGAACATTTATATACAAGTTTTTGTGTGGATATATGTTTTGATTTCTCTTGGTTATATACCTAGGAAGGGAATTGCTGATAACTCTTTGTTTAACCATTTGAGGAATTGCAGAAAGTGGCTGCACCATTTTACACTCCCACCAGAAGTGTATGAGGGTTCCAATTTCTCTGCATACTCATCAGCACTTGTTGTAATCTGACATTTTGATTATAGCCATCCTAGTGAGTATGAAGTATTGGCCAAAAAGTTTGTTGGGGTTTTCCATACCATCTTACAGAAAATCCCGAACGAACTTTTTGGCCGACCCAATATTATCACATGGTTTTGATTTATCTTTCCCTGATGACTAATGGTGTCAGGTACATTTTCATGTACTTTTCTTCCTAGAAATATGCTCATATAGAGAATATTTTGCATAAACTCTCAGGGGGTTCATAGACCCTCAAAGTTATGTACCCCTAGAGGGGAGTTATTACATGGACACATGAAGAAAAACTGTCATGGTAGTTATTATAAATTATACCTAATCATAGTAAATAATATAATGTGTACATTTTTCTTTTACACTACTCTATATTTAATAAGAAAAATAAAAGAACACATTTTAACATTAGTTGCACTGAAATACTGGTTTGATTTCCATTTCATGATTCTTAATAGCGGTGGAGGGGGAGGGGTCCCAATTCCTATTGGAGTGAGAAAAGTACATTATATATCACCATTTCTGAAATCAAAGGGTAACCCCATAGACTGAGGTAGAAAAAATTACCTATCTCTTATTTGTACAATGTGGTCATATACATAGGATTAGAAAACCAATAGAATAGATATCTATATATCAGGGAGGTATCTGTGTAACAGGAGAGTGAAAAGAGGTCTAGGGAGGTACTAACCTGAAAGTCACTTTCAGGATGAGCAGTGGGTACTGGGAAAAAGAAACACTATTCAACAAGAGTCAACAGTTATTTTGGCGAGTACTGGCTTACTACTGCCACCACAGCTTTATACTCATGACATATGAAAGTTGTCTGTTCCCAGGGAGTAAATGAGCATTTGCCCTGTGGTCTGAAGAGTCACCTACAGAGTTTGGATCTTTGCTGGGACTAGAGAAACAGTGGCCTAAGCTTTGAAACCTTAAAGGAATTTGCTTAGGCAGCTTTGAGGGAATCATTTTACCCCATGGTATATTCTTAGAACCTGAGAAAACTTCCTTATATTGGAAGCTTATACATTAGCATTTCTTAAGACAGTCAGCCTCATTCTCTCCACCAGATCAGCTTTTAGAAAATGGAATGATTTGGAGTTGCAATTAAAATCCCAGGCAGAAGCTCTTCTAGGATGTTCCATTGCTTAACTGCAAACACAGCAAAGAAAAGTAAGCAGTTCAAGTTCTGTACCTTATTTCACCTTCTCTAATGTGACCTGCCAGTTCCTCAATAAACTTCTCCCCTTTCATCCAGTAGATCATTGGTCCGGACTCTCCACTGAATCCAAAGAATGCTTTGCAAGGGATGTTCAGAGGCTTACCTGAGAATGACAGAGAAAAAAAATGAGCAAATGGCTCTGGTTATCATTGGAAGACAGAAAAGGACCATTTAACATCCAAAGGAAAACTCAGAAGTGACCCATTTACAACTCTTCTTCCAATCACCTTATCACTGCAAATGAGAACATTTTAAAATAGTTACAAGGGCCTCTGGGAAATTTTAAAATTCAATATATTATCAAAAATGAGAAAGTAAAGAAAGTTACTAAGTTTTTAGAACTGCTTATTTTTACTGCCTCCCTCCTAGGAACTAATATGAAAGAATCATATGGAAGGAACCCTCTTTTATTTTCCTTTTTTGAGAATATTAATAACTGCTTACTTGGACTTACCTTTGAAGTTAACATTAATCAAAGTATAAGTTAATTTTTGATTTGTGAGAAAATATATAATAGACTATCCACTATTACTAAGATTGCATAGAGAAATTTTGTTAATTCTGATTATTGTATATTCTGAGAAAAACTGGATAATTAAAATCAAATAAGAATTTTATAATTATAAGAATATCTATAGAAAGTACATGCAGTGAAAACTCAGTCTAACCATATCTTCGATATTCCTTGTGTCACCTACAGAACTTAAATAATTCTAGGCAATACTGCAGTTTTTTACTATGCATCTTGGTGATTATAGCTAAAAACTTTGTTTTAATTATGAATTTATCATCAAATATATAAGCAATTATTTTTTTGCTGGCATTGATTTTATTTTCTTCTTACAAAGTACATCAGTAAGGGAAGAATGGTATAGAGAGTACAATCTTGACATTTCTGACAAAGGAATCCCCTAATTCATAAATCATAATATAACATATCATTTTCTCTATAACATGTAATTTTTGCCCTGGTTGGAGCACTAGATAAAGCAATTTCAAAAATATTTTTTTCCTTGTATAGTACATGGTGAAATTGTTCCCATTATAACTCTGAGCTGTGTAAAATTTCTCCTTTCTATTCTTAAATTGATCCAAAACTTCCATGTTCTAAGAACCATTACTTTTTGGGAACCTTTCTATTTAATCACCATAACTAGCAGATGGCTTGCTTTGAGGACCATTTTCACCAAGAAACAATTTTAATTGGAGTTAGGGTCTACATTGAGACAGTGGAAATTAAGAAAACCTCATAGACATATGGATGCTGGGTGATAGGCTGGGCTTAACCACAATAAGTGTTACCAAATATTGGTCTTTTTATAGTGTAAATTTCTCTCTCAGCAAGATGACTTGTCATGGACCTTTGGGATCATTCAATTACTCTCAAAAGCTTTGATATCAACAGTCTTTCATATATGTCATGCTAATCTGAAACAAGGTTATTCATTGTTTCTTTGAACATGTGTTTTGTGATACAAGCTTGTCTAAAAAATGGAAGACAGCCTTGTATAGCTAAGAGATGTGGGTCCTTGTTTTGGATCTATCATTAAAAAGTAGACTCTCTGGCCCTGGGTACATTACCTAACCTTTTACAAACTGATTTCTCATATATGTAATAAGGATGGTAATAATACTTTGGATGTTCAGATAAGACAATATCTACAAAAGTGCTTGGTGAACGTGCAAGTCCCATCCAAATTTAGCATGGTTGTGTTTTCCTTCCAAGGCTTGGTCTTTCAAAAAGTCAAATTTGAGGCATAATTCTATATATGTAATGAGATAGATAACTGTTCATTTTGATCCTGCCAATCTCATGTCTTTCTTTTACTTATGAATACCTATGGGGTAATATCCTTTTCTTATCAATGCTCTATAAATATTTCCCAGATTCTAGAGTAGGTGTGATTCATCCAAGCAGGCCCTGTGTTCTCTAAACCCGAACACAGGGTCTTTTTATGCCTTACTGCTCTTCATTCCCATGAAACTAAAGGTATTACAGAATGTCAACCTAGATGGCAAAAGATCCAGAGACTGTGATAAACATTATTATAAGGATCCCAGTTGCTAAAACTACCAGTATATACATTTATACAAATAAATTCTGGTTGTCATTCCTTTGGGCTATGTTGAAAGAATATATCAAATAAAATACCTTTTAGTGATTCTTAGCATGTGGGTACTCAGGCCTGGTTTGATTTTAATGGAAAAAGACGATTATAGCGATGTGCAAAAAGGTGCCTCCTTGAGGTGGTCTATCAAAAATGACAGCATCTGCCCTTTCCTTGGCACTACACAATGGGTACTGACTATTGCAGCGATTTCTCCTGGGAATGTTTTTACTCTCCTATCAGACAGGTTTTGCTAAATAAATGCAAGAGACATATTTCAGCAGTCTAGTTTCTACAAATGCTGAACAAATATCTTGAAGCCTTTGTCAACGGCTAAAACAGGAAGATGGTCCAATCATCATACACAGTACTCTGAGGAGAGTCCCAAAATGATCAGCTCTTGCGCCAGATAGTGAGAATCAATGTGTGCCACGTTGTGAATACCTCTTCTTTCAAAAGGCCTGGGAGGGATCTCAGCACTGATTGAGCAAATAACCTGAAACAGTCTCTCCAGGTTTTTCTAAAATCTGGCTTGCGTGCATGTGCAAACTCCTGTCTACCATTTGTATCTGTTTGCTATTGTATTGTTTTGCCTCCAGATGTTTTCAAAGTCATTCCTATGGTACTGTATATCCTACTAGTAGAGATGACCAACTCATATTTGTATCTAAAAAGGATTGTACAGTAGGTTGAAGACTATCAAAATAAAAATAACTCTGCGAGCTTCTCAGTGTTTTGTGCTATTTATAAGGTAACAGCTTTAGACATAACTCCCTTTTAGGTTCAGTCTGTATTACTAGCAATTTCTCTATCACTTTATTAAGTCTAGACCAGTCAATAAAACATATGTTCATACAAAGACTTATATATGAATGTTCATACCAGCTTTATTTGTAATACCCCCAAACTGGAAATAGTCCAAATGTTCATCAACAGGTGAAGGACTACTCTGGTACATCCATACAAAAAATATTCATCAGGTATGAAAAGGATGAAGTACTGATACATACCACAACATATGATTTTTGAGATTTAAAGCAATTATACTAAGTTAAAGAGGTCAAACAAAAGAGTACATGCTTTATGACTCAATTTATATAAAATTCTAGGAAGTTAAAATTAATCTACAGTTTCTTAAAAAGTTGAACATCTGCCATGTGATCCAACCATTCCATATGAAAGCCTATGTCTGTATAAAGACTTGTACACAAATATTCATATCAGCTTTATTTTTTCAATTGAGATATAATTGACATATAATATATTAGTTTTAGGTATATAACACAATGATTTGATATTTGTATATATTTGCAAAATGATCACCAAAATAAGTCTAGTTAACATGTCACCACACATAGTCATGAATTTATTTTTTCTTGTGATGAAGGCTTTTACGATCTACTCTCTTAGCAACTTTCAAAATGCAATACAGTACTAACTATAGTCACCATGTTGTACATTATATCACCATGACTTATTTATTTTATAACTGGAAGTTTGTACCTATTGACCCCTCATTTTGCCCACCCACCACAAACCCCACCTCTGGCAGCCACCGATCTATTTTTATCTATGAGTTTGTTTTATGTTTACTTATTTGTTTGTTTTAGATTCCACATATAGTTGAGGTCATACAGTATTTGTCTTTGTATGACTTATTTCACTTAGCATAATGCCCTCAACATCCATCCATGTTGTTTCAAATAGTGAGATTTCATTCTTTTTCATGGGTGAATGATATTTCATCACACACACACACACACACCACCTTTTCTTTATCCATTCACCCATTGATGGACACTTAGGTTGTTTCCATATCTTGGCTATTGTAAGTAATGCTCCAATGAATATGGGGGTGCAGATACCTTTTTGAGCTAGTGTGTTCATTTACTTTGGATAAATACTCAGAGCGGAATTACTGAATCATATGGTAGTTCTATTTTTAATTTTGAGAAAACTCCATACTGTTTTCCATAGTGGCTACACTAATTTACATTCCTACCAACAGTGCACAAGGTTTCCCTTTTTTCCACATCCTCACCGACACGTTATTTGTTGTCTTTTTGATAATAGCCATTCTAACAGGTGTGAGGTGATCTCATTGTGGTTTGATTTGCATTTCTCTGATGATTATTTCATGTACCTGTTAGCAATCTGTTGATTATCATTTCATGTACCTGTTGGCCATCTGCATGTCTTCTTTGGAAATATGTTTATTCAGATCTGCCCATTTCTAAATCAAGTTTGGTTTTTTTTTTTGGTTTGGTTTGCTATTGAGTTATATGTGTTCTTTATATATTTTGGATATTTACCACCTATCATATATATGATTTGCAAATATTTTCTCTTATTCAGTCAGTTGCCTTTTCATTGTTGATGGTTTCCTTTACTGTGCAAAAGCTTTTTTGTTTGATGTAATCCCATTTGTTTATTTTTGTTTTTGTTGCTTTTGGTTTGGAGTCAGATTTTAAAAATCATCTCCAAACTAACTGATATCAAGGAGTTTACTGCCTATGTTTTGTTCTAGGAGTTTTATAGGTTCAGGTGTTTCATTCTACTCTTTAATCCATTTTGAGTTAATTTTTGTATATGGTATAGGATATTCATCCAGTTTCATTCTTTTGCATGTGGCTGTCTAGTTTCCCCAATAACATTTATTGAAGATACTGGCCTTTCCTCATTGTATATTTTTTACTCCTGTGTCATAAATTAATTGAACATATATGTGTGGGTGTATTTCTGGGCTCTATATTCTGTTCCATTGATCTATGTGTCTGTATTTATGCCAGTACCATACTGTTTTGATTACTGTAGCTTTGTAATACAGTTTGAAATCAGGGAGTATGATGCCTCCATATTTGTTCTTCTTTCTAAAAATGTTTTGGCTATCTATGTCTTTTATTGTCCTATACAAATTTTAGGATTGTTTATTCTATTTATGTGAAAAAATGCCATTGCCATTTTGATAGGGATTGTATTGAATCTGTAGATTGCT